TTGCCTATGCTCCCTCCGCAGGCGCCTGGAGTGCAGGCCGTCCCGTTGGACGCGCGAGTCCCGCTGGGTTGCCTATGCTCCCTCCGCAGTCGCGCAGGTCGTCCTGCTGGTACTTTGAACGCCAAATAGCTAGTACAAGATAATGTATTCCGCGAGTCTTCTCAACAACATTCCTACAATCTCAGTTTTTGATTGATCTTTGGGATAGGTGTGAACTGTACTGGTGGCGAAATTCTCGCTCGGCACTACTTGCTTTACTACACCATTCCTGAGACAGGTGCATTCATGAAACAGTTGTTGGAGATTTGAGGCAACCGTCAATGTACCTGATCAACAAGGTTGTTTAATACACGTAAAAGACAGTTCAACACAACTCAAAGAAATATTTAAAATTCAATTCATTTTCTACTCAGCAATCTTCTTCTTTTTTAAAAATAAGAAAAAAACTTGTAATTTGTCCTGAAACCTGATTTAAATCAAGAATATTTATCCTTAAAAACTGACAATAATGATGATGTTTATCAGGAATTCAAAACACAAATTACAACAGCATAGAAGTATTTCAATCTATAAGTCGTCTAAACTCAAAATTACATGAGTGTTACTGTTGGATAGTAGCCCAAACTAAAACAATATCACTAAATTTTGATTCTATTTTACTGCAGTTTTCTTTCCCTTTTTACTTTTAATTGGTTCCTCTATCTTCTTTTTTTCTTGGACATTGCTAGCCTTTCTCTTGGGTCCCTGTGTCTTATCTTGAAACATTTTGAGGTCTGCACAGAACAAAACCTGTAAAAAAAATGTTGTTTTTATTTTAAAGAAGTGTGCATCCTATCATGTAAGACTTACAGAAGAGGAGACTTGCATATAATTTTTGACAACTTACCGTGTGGGCCCACCCAGCATATGGGCCATAAAGATCTCGGAAATAATCTCCAATTTCATTGTATACCTTATCTGTTACTGATTTGTACTTTGTCAAATGAGGTAAATATCTACAACTAATCTGCCACACATGAGTATCAACAGGAATAGCTTCAAGGTGATTTAAAGACATCAAGCAAATGCAATCAGCAACCTGAATAGAATATGAAAGGGGACTATGTAGTAATTGTACACTTTGTATTTTTATGTATAGTGGAATGATTAGCCAAAGTATTTGATAAGTATGGAAATTTCTACAGATCAATCTGAACTCCTCACCTTGGCACCAATTCCTGGCAATTCCATTAGAGCCGATTTAGCTTCCTTGTAAGGCTTTAACTGGAGAGACTCAAGCCATGATTCTCCTCCCAGAGAAAGTATCATAGCAGCAGATTTTTGTATGAATTTTGCACGGTATCCAAATCCTGCTTTACGTAAGTCCTGTTCTACTGTTGGGTCTGCTAAACGGTCAACCTTGGGGAATGCATGGTATACTTGTTTATTTTTTGTTCCAAGCTCAGAGCCATAAAGCAAACACATTTTCTCTACCATGCTTGAAATCCTATAAAGGTAAAGGATTAGCAAGGATTAGCCAATAAGAAGTGTAATTGTTAAATCTATCTAGAGAAGCAAGTCTGTCAAATGAGATACCTTGATATATTATTGTTTGATGAACAAATAAATGAGAATATATTTTCAACTGGTTCTTGACGAAGCATTCTAACACCATAAAATTTGGCAGCCACTTCTTTGAAGTTTGGATCATTTTTTGACCATTTCAAATACATTTCATCTAATGACACATCAAGTCTCAAATAATTACGAAGAAGCTCCTCATCTGTTTTTAACAAACTAGCTTCATTGTTCTTCTGACTTGCAACTGCTTTATTTCTTATTTTCTTTGTCTCCTTAGCAGCTGAAGTTGCTGCATACTGAACTTGGTACAAAATGTTTTCATCTGTTTGTTTTAAGGTCCATATCCTCTCAGCAAAGATCCCTGTCCATTCCCCATCATCGTTTTTTTGCCACCTAAAACAGAAAAAAAAAGGAGGCAAAGATACACAAATTTATCATGTGGCCTGGAACATTATCCTTAATCTATCTACATGATTTTACCTGAAGCACTGCCCCCCACTGAGAGTGAGAAGTAACTGCAAATCTTTGTATGAACATTCCAGGGTTCGCCAAACTGCCATTCTCGGGTTTCCTACTGTCTGGTTCACCTATCAATTGTACAATTGTATAAGACACTCATATAACATATCTAAGGTAAATTTTCCACATTCTGGGACGGTTCGAGCAAGGAAAAATCAATGAAAGAAAAACACTTTATTTTCTAAAATTTTATTAAATATAAAGATAATGGTAAAACATTGATAATTCTTCCTATGATAATATTGTACAATCAGAGCACAAAACAGCAATCACATTTCCTTTAACTTAATTATAAAACCTTGCAAACTCTTGCAGAAAAGCTCCTCAAAACAAGGGAGTAATAGGAGCTCTCAAACATTTAAACTCCCGTTAGTACACAGATATGGTTATAAAGGGAGAAAATAAAACTGACATGCTCACAATAGTAAGTATGAATTTAACTAAGGAGGTCAACAGGAAACTTAAGCAAAACCAGAGAAAAAGTCAGTTAGCCGCATTATTTCTGGGATAACTGAGTGATACACCACTGTAAAATCTTGCTGCTTATGATAAGCACAAAGTATTATTTTATCTTAATCACATTAAACCGACCAAAGACAGTAAGATGCATTTCACATTGACAAAAAATAAACTGACACAACAGCAACCACATAATTGTGCAGGAACCTATCATTACACAACTTGAGGATCTGTCTGGTGCTGACTAGACATAAATGCTGTTGAAAATCTTTTTTCTTGACATTTGCATTTACATTTCATGTAATTAAGACATCTTCATCAAGAATTTCAAAAAGAATTGAAAACTATGAATAGACAGCTAAGCCAACACATGACAAATATGTAACTGACAGTTCACTTCACACAGATAAAATGAGTAAGGAAACAAAAACCTGTAGATTAGTGTAGAGGATTTACACTATTGCTTTCCTGACACAAAATTGTTCTTGGCAGTTTACACAAGACACATTCATTCCCTACATATCTAGAACAACCAAGACCACAAAAACACACTAAATGTTGAAACCATAGGAAAATGGTCAGGAATTTGAAGATAAAACCAGAGTGACCTGCCTGTAGATTAATTATCAAGACACTTTGGCCAAATCTGTGGCCAATTCAATAATTCATTCAAATACAGTCATATTTTAACATGGTACAACTCAGTTACTCAGAGGATCCACAAACCACACCGTACAAATTACTCAAAACAACAAAACTAAACAGCACAAGAGAAAATATTTTATAGGCAGAGAATTTTAACAAGGAATGGATAATCAGTAACAGTCGTTTTCCTTATCTTTACACAATTTAACCTGACATATCTGTATCAAAATCAAAATTGTTCCAAATATTCTGATTTTATAATACATTTGGCATTACAGAATAATGTATACACCACACTACAAGCTTAATGTCAATAGTAAAAGCAACAAAATTCAGCAATTCTCATAAAATGAGGAACTGACATTTTGAGAGTACTTCAATAGTGACATCAGCTTTCATCACAAGCAGGCACAGCAAGATAGACAAATATTTTAGGTGTCTCCCATTTACATCAAAGCTTTAATATTTCTTAATTAATCACAAATGATAGCAATATGACTGAGAAGTAATCTGAAAATCACATGCAACTGTCTTGACAATCAATTTCCTGAGAATAAATTAATAAGTTGGTTCATCGTTCTTCATAAAGAAAACTAAATTGTTCCCAGATAGAACTTTGAAACAAAAACCCAATCTCAGTAGATTTCTTTGCAAAGTGATGGATGCAGCTTTGAGCTTTGACAAGTCCAGAGTCCAAGAACACAACAAAATTGCGTGATATATCTTCAGTTCTTTGCGAGTTCATTGGATAGCCAATCTAGTCCTTCATACAGACCGTTACCCTGTGTGGCACAAGTTGCTTGAACATACCAACGACGGTTACGTAGGCTGTTCAGGCCTAGCTTTTCAGTTAGATCAGCGGCACTCATAGCAGTAGGAAGATCCTGCTTATTGGCAAATATAAGCAAAACTGCATCGCGTAATTCGTCTTCTTGCAACATATTCTGCAGTTCTGTTTCAGCTTCAGCAATTCTTTCTTTGTCACTAGAATCCACAACAAAGATGAGACCATTGGTGTTCTGGAAGTAGTGGCGCCAGAGCAGTCGGATTCTGTCTTGGCCACCGACGTCCCACACGGTGAAGCAAATGTTCTTGTACTCCACTGTTTCGACGTTGAATCCGATAGTAGGAATAGTAGTCACAATTTCACCCAATTTTAGTTTATACAAGATGGTGGTTTTCCCGGCAGCGTCAAGCCCAACCATCAAAATGCGCATTTGCTTCTTGCCGAACAGGCGTGTGAACAGACTTGAGATTGTTAAACCCATGGCTAACGAAACACTATACTTCACGCAAAGTTTTGTAGAGGATGTACCATAAAAAGAATAAAATACACGCACCTGCCACGTCAAAACTGTCAAACAACACACGACACCGTACAGACGGCTTACGTGTGGTTAGGCTCACTCCACCACAACACAAAACAGACCCGTTTGTTGCAGAAGGCTATGAAGTGGCGTTCTTCTGTTTCCGTTTATCGCGGGCACTATGAAGAGAGAACAGAGCGTGGCACAAAGACAAGTAGAGAAAGAACATAGCAAAGGACAAAAGCAAACTGCGACCGCAGAATACGTACTTCGAATTGAAGCGTTTCATTAGGATTGTGTTTTTTTGAATGACTGAGGATCTATTCCAGAGGTGGCCAAGGAGTTTGCAAGAGGAGTCAAAAGCAGGGAGAACGGAGCCTCTCACTCTGACCGCTTGGGGGCGCTAGGCTCGCCGCGACGCCGTTCTAGCAGACGCCTCGCCTCGCCCCCTTGCTTCCAGTGGGCTCAGGACCAAAGCAGACGACGGAACAGTGACATCTCTCATCTCTGAAGCAGTTTTGCTACTGAGAAGCCGAGTGGCCGGTAAGGATAACATGGTTCTTTTCAAAAAACGAGTGTTCTGTAGTGTACTCCCAAGCGCAGTAGGGCGAGGGTTTCATTCAGAAAACAACTCGAGTGTGCTGAGTTTGGCTATTGAAAATATTTTCCGTGTCGTGTTTTGGTAGAAGGGTTATACTCTGTTTTATTTTTTCGGGTTACGAGTTTAATCTTTTTGTTTTTAAAGCTCTGGCAGACTCTTTAGTGTCCCATGAATTAAGAGAAAGGTTAGGAGTTTAATATGTCAGAACGCGCCGAGTTATGATTTATTACGTTTGAATCTATCGGGAAAGGTAACTAACATTCCTGCCAACAATGCACTGAAATTTCATTAACTTCCCTTGAATAATTATTCAACAAACTAGTATAGTTTTCGAGAAGAGTATGTTCAAATTCTGCGACCGAGAGTGACGGGATTGCTAACGAAAACGCCCAAACCAGCAGGGTGAAGGCGCCTCGCAAAAGTGCGACCGTCTCTTTGTGTTGTATTTGTTTTACCACCACAGTGGGCCACTCGGGCCAACCCACAACACTTCTTCCGGGAGCGCGTTCCGTTCCGTTCGATCAAACGGCAACCCCCTCCCCCAGCCCCAGCCGCGGCCGGGCTGGACATGAATGGCGAGTGGCAATTCTACGGCACGGCATTGAACATCAGCCCCCGGCCCCGGGCCCCGGGCCGGCACCCCAGGTGCGCCCCGAGGGCCCCAAAGTCAGCGCACTTAGTGGGGGAGGAGGCGCCACGAGGACTTTCATTCGGCTGAATCGCACATGGAACCGTGGGTGGATAGAGCTTCTTGCCTGGACTATTTCTTTTTTAACCTATATCACACAGAGGGTGAGAGAGAGAGAGAGCGATAGAGGAAAAGACCGTGTAAAGAGTCAGCTGACCATAGCACATGCCGAAAATACACGTACTTAATGATCGATCCTTTTCTTTCGTGTCCGGCGCGAGCGCAGCAGTGCGCAGCAGGAGGGGTGGCTCCCAGGGCTCCGCAGCCACCCCCGCCGCAGCCACGCCACCACCGCCCCATCTCATTCCAACGTCTCTCTGTCTCTGTCCCACTGCAGGGAGGCTCCAGGCCGTCTGCCCTGCGCAGCCCTGCGCGTCGCCATGGCTGACGGGGGGTCGGCGCCGACGGCGGCGCCCGGCAAGGACAGCGACGACCCCGGCGCCTGCCGTGTCAACGTCCAGAGCTACGACGCCACCGACAGCGACAGCCGTGAGTACACCGCGGGGGCGGGGGTGAGGGGTGCACACCGTCTCAAAGGGACGGCCGTGATAAGACGCGATAACGGCACCCGCATGAATAGCGCCCTGCAGGCTTCAGGACGTCTGCCGCGGAGCGGGGCGGGCTGGGGCGACGACAGCGATAATTACCCTGGGAAAACAAAAAGGGGGCGAAATCGCACCTTCTGCGGGGGCTGCTAAAGAAATGTTGAGTAAAATTCTCTTGGAAAGGTGATCAAGAGATAAATGCTAAAAGCGGCACCTATTTGGTTCATGACTTTGCAAACTAAATCCTTAATCACATCAAACGGTTGCGACTCACCCAAGGGGTCCCCAACTTTGGTCTGCCGGGGAACACGCGATGCTTGATTCCTGGGATCCCGGGGCTTATCCTTGTGAGTCTTCCCGCAGGTCGTCCGTGCCTTTCTCTGTTGTTTCGATGGCTGGCTAGTGTACACGCTTGCACCTAGTTGCGCACCCCTCACCACCTCCGCGAGCTCGTCACCCGCCCCCACTTCGCGTCCACGCTTCAGTTTTCCTGTTACGAACACCTGTCGCTATTCATATTGCTGCAATTCAATGGGGTGGTCGACTGTTGTTTGCTCATGCGAGGGGTGGAGGCGGGGGTGGTG